CTGTGTCTGTGACTGTGTCTGTGACTGTGTCTGTGTCTGTGACTGTGTCTGTGACTGTATCTGTGTCTGTGTCTGTGACTGTATCTGTGTCTGTGGTTGTGACTGTGCATGTGACTGTGTCTGTGACTGTATCTGTGTCTGTGTCTGTGACTGTATCTGTGTCTGTGTTTGTGACTGTGTCTGTGATTGTGTCTGTGAATGTATCTGTGTCTGTGTCTGTCTAACAAACTTTACTGCCAAAATACAACAAAAATTTTGTCAAGAAAAATGGAAAACAATGAGAGCAACAACTTTCTGGACATTATAAACTGTTGGCCTTTAATCAAAAAAAAATTTGCAATGTAAATCAAATCAACACAATTCAGAATTTCATATCAGATCAACACTATTGCCTATTGAATAACAAATCCACTAAGCCACTACGACAAAGTCGCAGAAATATTCAGGAAACATAAGAACTGACAGCATTATGCATTTCGATTTGAATGAACTTTTCGATGGAGTTCCCAGTTGAAAGCTTTATCTGAGCTCTATGAAACATACGTTGAAAGTTTTAACCAATGTGACAAATAACAAGTTTTTTTTTTCTTTTATGTTGAAGAGGCCATTCAAGGAGAGTCGTAACTTTGCCTTGATCAGTGACAAGTCTGGATGTACACAAGGTGAACGAGAACTTTGTAGGCTGAAAAGAATCTAAAACAGTTGAATATTAATTATGCAAGCTGGAAACGCTTGCATAATTAATGTCCAAATTAAACAACATTCTTATGAAATAAACATTATCACGAAGTCAACAACGTCTTCACGAAGTATCATCTTCACTAACAAAACATCATCTCTGAGAATAAAGCGTCTTGCTTTTGCCAGAAAACATCATTTTCACGAACAAAAACATCATCTTCATCGAACTAAACATCAGCTTTAAGAACTAAACATTATTCTCACGAACTAAACATGATCTTCACGAATAAAATATCTTCATGAACAAAACATGGTCTTCACGAATAAAACATCATCTTCACAGACAAAACATCATCTTTGCGAGCAAAACATCGTCATGACGAACAAAACATCAATTTCAAGAACAAAACTACAACTTCACGAAGAAAATATCAACTTCACGAACAAAGCATCATCTTCACGAATTAAACATTATCTTGACGAACATATATCGTCTTCACGAACAAAATACCAACTTCAGGAACAAAACATCTTCACGAACTAAACTCCATCTTCACGAACTAAACATTTTTTTCACGAACTAAAAATTAACTTCACGAACCTAACATCGTCTTCACGAAGTGAACCACCAAACATCGTCACGCGAGGGGCAAATACATACGACCAACTCCTGAGCAAGTTCACCAACACCTATACTAATTTAACAACTGCGTGAGTTTGTAAACACGTGCACGACTTCACAAATACCTGTAGAACCCGAAAGCAATGTATTTGTTGAACTAAGATTTTTATCAGCAGAACAGTTAATTAAGGCTTTACTGTAAGGCATTCCGGTATTGGTTTTCTTGTCCAAACATGTCTGTGTTCAGATATGTCTGCCAAAAATTCAGTGCTGGTGTTGTGATATGTTTGTTAACAAAACAAACAAGTGATACTACTGTTCTATATATGTTAATAAACGCGTGTGATTCTGTTGTTACATGCTTGTCTAATAGAACAAACCTGAGCTGGTGTTTTGACTTATATTTTCTTAATAAAACAAGCACATGAATGCTAAGAAAACAGGCAAGTGATGCCGGTGTTTTCTTATGCGTTGTGCTTGTAAAACAAACACGCAATGATGAGGTTTTGTCGTGTTAGATATTAAACCAAACATCTGAGGTTTATGTTAAATTTTATATCACACAAAAAAATGTTCTGATATGTTCACAAATGATCATCAACATCTGCATCAATGAATTACTAGATACAATTACCTTATCTATAATTTATATATATATATATATATATATATATAATATATATATATATATATATATATATATATATATATATATATATATATATATATATATATATATATATATATATATATATATATATGTATATATATATATATATATATATATATATATATATAATATATATATATATATATATATATATATATATATGTATATATATATATATATATATATATTATATATATATATATATATATATATATATATACATATATATACACATATATATATAATTGTGAACAGCTGTCTATAAATTATATTGAGAAATTAAATGCAAGACTCAATAGCAGGGTAATTTTTCCACAGCTTCCTGAATGTCCTCTAACATCCTCTTGAAAAACCAATTTTGGAATACAAGTTTTGGCGTGGAAGTTATGAAGGATGTTTAAGATGCGTCTGCACTCAGATCACCAGCAGTTCCTCAAGACTTTTCCAATAACTTACTCGTAAATTGACGAAGCTGACGAGTTCGTAGAGAATCTCTGAGTGGTATTTATTAGGCACTCTGGTTAATATAAACAGTCTGGTTAATATAAACAGTCTGGTTGATATAAACAGTCTGGTTAATATAAACAGTCTGGTTAATATAAACAGTCTGGTTGATATAAACAGTCTGGTTGATATAAACAGTCTGGTTAATATAAACAGTCTGGTTGATATAAACAGTCTGGTTGCTATAAACAATCTGGTTGATATAAACAGTCTGGTTGTTATAAACAATCTGGTTGTTATAAACAGTCTGGTTGATATAAACAGTCTGGTTGTTATAAACAATCTGGTTGATATAAACAGTCTGGTTGTTATAAACAGTCTGGTTGATTTAAACAGTCTGGTTGATATAAACAGTCTGGTTGCTATAAACAATCTGGTTGATATAAACAGTCTGGTTGTTATAAACAGTCTGGTTGTTATAAACAGTCTGGTTGATATAAACAGTCTGGTTGTTATAAACAGTCTGGTTGTCATAAACAGTCTGGTTATTATAAACAGTCTGGTTAATATAAATAGTCTGGTTAATATAAACTTGTTTGTTAATAAAATAATAGAGTCTGGTTCACAATACACAAATAATCCGCACATAAAAGAGAGAAGCTTACGACGACGTTTCGGTCCAACTTGGACCATTGACAAAGTCACACATGTAACTTTGTCGGGTTATTTGTGTATCGTTCCAGTCACGGTATTGTGCCTTTTTGCTATTTAGAGTCTGGTTGACATAATCTGTCTGGGTAATGTAAACTCTCTTTTTAATTTAAATAGTCTGGTTAATATAAAATCTGGTTAATATAAAGTCTGGTTAATATGAACTAAATTTAAAGGTTCAAATAGTTTTGTTTAATTTAAATATCATGTCTAATATCAACAGTTGGTTAACGTAAACTGGATAATGCAAACTGCCTGGTTAATATCAACTGTCTGGTTAATATATTGTAAACTGCCTGGTAAATATAAACTGTCTGATTATAAACTGTCTGGTTAATATAAACTGTCTGGTTATAAACTGTCTGGTTAATATAAACTGTCTGGTTATAAACTGTCTGGTTAATATAAACTGTCTGGTTATAAACTGCCTGGTTAATATAAACTGTCTGGTTAATATAAATTGTCTGGTTATAAACTGTCTGGGTAATATAAACTGTCTGGTTATAAACTGTCTGGTTATAAACTGTCTGGTTAATATAAACTGTCTGGTTATAAACTGTCTGGTTAATATAAACTGTCTGGTTATAAACTGTCTGGTTAATATAAGCTGTCTGGTTATAAACTGTCTGGTTAATATAAACTGGCTGGTTAATATAAGCTGTCTGGTTATAAACTGTCTGGTTAATATAAACTGTCTGGTTATAAACTGTCTGGTTAATATAAGCTGTCTGGTTATAAACTGTCTGGTTAATATAAACTGGCTGGTTAATATAAGCTGTCTGGTTATAAACTGTCTGGTTAATATAAACTGGCTGGTTAATATAAGCTGTCTGGTTATAAACTGTCTGGTTAATATAAGCTGTCTGGTTATAAACTGTCTGGTTAATATAAACTGGCTGGTTAATATAAACTGGCTGGTTAATATAAGCTGTCTGGTTATAAACTGTCTGGTTAATATAAGCTGTCTGGTTATAAACTGTCTGGTTAATATAAACTGGCTGGTTAATATAAACTGTCTGGTTATAAACTGTCTGGTTAATATAAACTGCCTCGTTCATAAAACGGTGAAAAAAATGAAGATCCGTGTTAAGGTATAAGATCACAGTAATTACAACTTCCTTCACGTTAACAAGTTGTTACTGTAGTGTTGAGGAGAAATTCTTCAGGCTTTCTTTTTAATAATATGACCCTTAGCAGCCCCTTGATCGTGAACACAGAGCACTAGCTGAGTGCCAAGCATACCCAGTTAACATGGACACCACCTCCTTTCTCCACGTGAACACAGAACACCACTCCCTTAGAGCCCAGAGGCGGCAGGAAGACTCAGATTTAGCAGGTCGAGTTTGGTTATATCTCCACGTGAACACAAAATTCTCTGAACGGCAGGAACACTCAGATACAAGGTGTCGACCTTTTCCCCGTGGGTCCATCAGAACGAAAACTGGAATAATAAGTTTATAGCAGTCCGTAGTAAAGGGCAGGATTTGGTAATGTGAAACACTGTAGATGAGACATACACAGACCTCTGAGTTATGGCGTCATCCAGTAAGCCAGCACCTCAGCTCTAGCAGAAGCAGCAGCAGGTGCCAGGAGCAGCAGTAGAAACAGCAGGAGTAGAAAGTAGAGCGTCAGTAGAAGGAACAGTAGTAGAAAAAACAGAACTAGCAGCAACGTTAGAAAAGGAAATAATTCATGATAAGCGCTAAACCCATGTGAGTTATTCAGCTCCAGACGCGCTTCCTATTTGTACTCACCTACATCCAAGAAGAAGAAGAAGAAGAAGAAATATTGTAAACAAAAGCAACAAGAACAGTGACAACTCTGGCGACGTGGTCGCGAGGCTGGAACATATATATCACCTGGAAAACTTACTGGAAGGAGATAGTGGCTGTTCCTGAGTCGCTGTAGAGCACCACTGGCGGGTGCAGCCTCTCGTCCTCCCCACAGATCCTGAGGGAGTTGAGGCCTCCGTCAGCGTTGCCTTCAGCCACACTCCTCCCGTCAGAGATCTCCACGAAGCCTCCTCGACACCTGTGAAGAGACAAACACCTGTTGAAGGAAGATATTGGTATAGCCTTGTAGCACCTCCACCTGCTGATGTAAGGCGCTAGTATCAGCTAGTAGCACCTACACCTGCACCTGTTGATGAAGAGTACTAGTATCTGCTGGTATAAGGTGCTAGTATCACTTTTTACCACCTGTCTGGATAAAGTACATGCTAGTGTAAGGTACTAGTAACACCTTGTAGTACCTCTACCTGCTGGTGTAAGGTGCTATTATTAGTAATAGTGAGTCTAACCTTATCCTGGAAATTACTGATCTGTAATCTAATAATCACATAATAATAATAATAATAATAATAATAATAATAATAATAATAATAATAATAATAATAATAATAATAATAATAATAATAATAATAATAATAATCTTTCTTTTTCTTTTAACAAAGCGGCCGTATCCCACCGAGGTAGGGTGGCCCAAAAAGAAAAACGAAAGTTTCTCTTTTTAACGGCAGGAGATGAAACATTCCCCCGATGAAAAGCAGGGGCGCCACGAGTACACTGAGAGACAACACAATAAGTGTCCAGGGCCCAAGACTGTTCAACTGCCTCCCAGCATTCATAAGGGGGATTACCAATAGACCCCTGGCTGTCTTCAAGAAGGCACTGGACAGGCGCCTAAAGTCAGTACCTGACCAACCGGGCTGTGGTTCATACGTCAGCTTGAGTGCGGCCAACAGTAACAGCCTGGTTGATCAGACCCTGATCCACCATGAGGCCTGGCCTCAGACCGGGCCGCTGGGGCGTTGACCCCCGAAACCCTCTCCAGGTAAACTCCAGGAGAAGGGGGTTACTAGCCCATTACTCCTGGCATGTTATTCGTCTCTTACGACACGCATGGCTTACGGAGGAAGAATTCTCTTCCACTTCCCCATGGAGTACATGCTAGTAGCACCTCCACCTGCTGATGTAGGGCGCTAGTATAGGCCTGTAGCACCTCCATCTGCTGATGTAGGGCGCTAGTATAGGCCTGTAGCACCTCCATCTGCTGATGTAGGGAGTTAGTATCAGCCTGTAGCACCTCCATCTACTTTCTACTTTTATTCTTTTATTATATCTCTGTTATTGGATATATTTTAAATGCAAGTATCATATTCAGTAAAGACAACAGTTTCTTATTCTGATAATTCATTTAATCATTCTCTCTCTCTCTCTCTCTCTCTCTCTCTCTCTCTCTCTCTCTCTCTCTCTCTCTCTCTCTCTCTCTCTCTCTCTCTCAGCTAGTGTGTCAGATCAACACACACACACACACACACACACACACACACACACACACACACACACACTCAACACGACTCACTCATTGGCCGCAGCTGTGCTGAGAATTCCCAGAAAAACATTTGTACCTCCGAGGCAATCACTGAGTCGCTTTTGTTACTCTTGATTGCTATAGATTTATTCGATAGTTAAGAGCCAGAGTATTGGGTGGAGACTATCGCACAATGTCTCTTCTCAGCTAGGAGACTATCGTATATAAAGTCACTGGACGACATAATATAAACAATCTTGCTAATATAAATTGGTTAATGTAAACATTTTGGTAGTATGAAGAGTCAGTGTATATAGTTGGAGTAATATAAACAATCGGGTTAATATAAACAGCCTGGTAAATATAAACAGTCTGGTTAATAAAACAGTCTGGTTAATATGAAAAGTCTAGTTAATACAGTTAAATATAAAAAGTCACGTGAAATATAAGCAGTTTTATTTACGTTAAGACATACCAGGTACTCGGGGTGGTAACGATGGAGTATCTAAACGCGCAATATTTGATGGCGGGTGAAGGAAAGACACCAAGAATCAAACACGGACGAACACTGGACATCCAGACATACCACAGCGACGTGAAGGTAATACTTGAGATTATTAATGAAAACAGTTGAGTGAAAGTAAATGTTATGGTCGTACCGACAGCACGTGGCGAAAGACACTCGTGTAGGGTACGTGTACGGTTCATGTACGATTCGTGTACGCTTCAGGACATTTATTAAAAGCGCGGATTATTGAGGACTGAAGATATCATTCCTCTAATAAATATCCTGAACTGAACGATAACTGAATGTGTCTGTCTACTACCACCTCATCAAACTCAATCGCCATGAAAAACTTCAAGAGTAATTATGATAGAATGGAGATAAATGATATCAAATATCGACACGATGGAAAAATATATTTAAAAATATGTACTGATGAGTTCTGTGCCCAGGGACATCTGTTGATGACTTGATGAAAGCCACTGTGTGGGAGAAAGGAAGTCAATAAAGGATAGCATTATGTTGCAATTGTATCTATTTTTCCAATTATGAAAGGAATTAACTACACCTGTTGATGGAAGGATGAGAGAGGCAGAGCCAAGAGCTGCAGCTCAGGTCCAACTGATACCTCACTGAGAAAGATAAGTATTCTAGGTGGAGAGAAAGACAGAACTGTGATAATTTAAAGAAATAAGGAAAGTAAATTAGTAGTGTCCTACGAGGGACAAAAGCGAATAAACGATTAGCAACAATATTACATAGATAACTACGAAGGACAGGAGAATGTGAGGAAGGTAAAAAAAAAATCAGACTTTTTTTAAAAAAAAAAGCTTCACATGTGTTGAGGAATGAAGTTCCACCACAGACAGACAAATAATGAAATTCTAAAGCAGTGGTTCCCAACCTGTGGTCCGCGGACCCTTTGGTATGTACTGGGGGTCCATGAGCTAATTTCAAAATTTGAAAGCAACATCAACCATCTCATTAAACAAGTAAGTTTTTTTTAATTTTGTCATTTAATTGCACGCTCAGTTACGTATGTCTTTCAGCTGAGAGATGAAATTATGAAAACGAGTTTGTTTTTAGCTAATAAAATGGACATATTGTGTAGACAGACCTTTAAAAACCTGGGTTAGCACAGGCACCACTGTGACCACAAATGCAAATTTTTACAGACGAATCTCCAGCTAGCGTTGCCGTGTTAACGGCTTTGAGGGGATTTGAGCTAGAGTTCGTCATTGTCACGCTAGCTGGAGATTCGTCTGAAAAAACTTGCATTTGTGGTCACAGTGGTGCCTATGCTAACCTTCCTATGGTGTAGAAATATACCTAGTTGGACGAATCTTATTGTGGCTAGCTGGTCCAGTGGCTAACGCGACGGTCTGGAGTTTTGAGACTCTCTAATCGCTGGTTCTATCCCCGCCCATGGTATGGTTTGTTTGCAATCAGGTTAGGTTAGGCAAGGTTTGTCAGGAAACAGGACAAGTGAACCTGAGGCGGGTCTTACATGATTACCCGCCGTTGCAGCTTTTGGTCATCAGACCGAGTCCTTCCGCTGGCTTACCGGTCCACTCCTTTAAAAATTATGGTCAGTTATAATAATTTTTTATTTTTAAGTGTTTCGCAACAGTTACAGGAAAGGACAAGAACAAAATGTTACAACAAAATGAAAAAAAAATAGGTAACGACAAACCAATTGTTAACGCTAATTGATATTTAATCATCGATATTAATTCAAAAGAATTAAGATCAATGATTTAAATGCAAGAAAAACCTGAGATACGAACTGACAAATAACATAGAATATTCTTAAAATAACTGACTTCTAATGGCAACAACAGACCGAAAATAGTTAAGACACATGTGCAACATCTGGTACTCTTTATTGTAGGCGTTTCGCCATCCAATGGCTTTATCAATATAGATTCTAGGACATGTGTCGTAACTTTCATCTTGTCGGTATTGCATTCCTTTCTTGCACAACTTGTCAGACACTGCAACATCATGGAATCTTGGTTCAGAGGACATCTACAAAACGACCTTCTTCACGGCTGCTACAACTAACCCATCCCTTTGGGTAGGACCTACTTCCACTGGGGAATCCCGCCTACCAGTGACTATGCCCTCGTCTGCTACACGTCCCTATCCACTGATGCCTATATAACCGCCAATCTTCTTGTCTTTGCTCCAGAATCGTTACAACCATGGTGCTGTCAACACTAACTCCAAGGCTGAGGGACTGATTACCTCATCTTTTGTATAGTTCTTCTGTCTTCTAATTATGTCCTAGAATTTGTATTGATAAAGCCACTGGATGGCTAAACGTCTACAATAAAAGATAACCAGATGTTGTACATATGTCTTAACTTTCATCTTGTCGGCATTGTAGCAGTTGTTGGGCAGTGAGACAAGTACAACACTATGAGCAGAGGAGACATCTTCCTGGGACTTGTGAGACTGTAAACTGTCCACTGTAAACTGTCCACTGTAAACTGTCCACTGTAAACTGTCCACTGTAAACTGTCCACCGTATTCTGTCCACTGTAATCTGTCCACTGTAAACTGTCCACTGTATACTGTCCACTGTAAACTGTCCACCGTATACTGTCCACTGTAAACTGTCCACTGTAAACTGTCCACTGTAAACTGTCCACTGTAAACTGTCCATTTTAAACAAATGTGATATTGACGACACTTTAATCTATATATTTCCTTCGCTAACGAGTTTTCTCATAACGCTGTAAAAAATCCATTAGAGAAAAGTGGTAAATTATCTTCAGAAAAACACCTTGATAAATATTAAAAAAAATATTTTTGAAAATCATTTTTATTATAATTATTATTATTATTAGTAGTAATAGTAGTAGTAGTAGTAGTAGTAGTAGTAGTAGTAGTAGTAGTAGTAGTAGTAGTAGTAGTAGTAGTAGTAGTAGTAGTAGTAGTAGTAGTATAATTAAAAAATAGTAATGTTGCTATTATTATTATTATTATTATTATTATTATTATTATTATTATTATTATTATTATTATTATTATTATTATTATTAATAACAATCATCATATGAATCATTAAGACGAGGCCTGGTCACAGACTGGGTCGTCGCGGGGACGCTGACCCCCGAAACACTCCCCAGGTAAGCCTTGTAATGCAAGTTCTTTAGTCCCCCCTCAAAAAAACTGTCAGCAGAAAACCGGGTATAAACAACAGTGATAC